TGAGCCATCTCTCCAGCCCCTAAAATAATTTTTTTTATTTTTTGTCTTTTAAAGACAAGTCTCCCTCTAGTCCTAGCTGACCTGAAACTCACTAGGTAGACCAGGTAGCCCTTGAACTCACAGAGATCCACCTACCTCTGTCTCCTGAGTGCTGGGATTAAAGACATGCACCACCACAACTGGCTGGAAATCATGATTTTTTTAAATTTTATTTTATATGTATGAGTGTTTTGCCTGTGTGTAGGTGTACCTTGTGTGTGCAATGCCCACAGAAGCCAGAAAAGGGCGTTGGATCCCCTGGAATTGGAGTTATAGATGGTTGTTTGTAGCCATGTTGGTGCTGGGAATTGAACTTGGGGCCTCTGCAAAAACAGCCAGCACTCACAATTGCTGAGTCCTCTCCAGCACCTCCAATATAAATTTAAAAGATTTTAAAAGCATGTATTTATTTTGTGCATAGCAGAGTGTTGCCATGGTGCTGGGATGGTCAAAGGACCACTTCTGGGAGTCAGTTTTCTCCTTCCAACATGTGAGTTCTGGGGATCAAACTCAGGTCATAAGGTTTTGTGGCAAGTACCTTTACTTGCTGAGCCACCACCCAAAGGCCCTCACTGTAATTTCAAAAAACTTGTATGAGTGTTTTGCTTGCATGTAAGTGTACCATGCGTATACAATGCCTGCAGAGGCCAGAAAAGGACAGTGAATAATTGAACAGGACTTGATCAGGTTCTCAGAATCCATGTCTCCATCACCCAATGCTGGGGTTACAGGCTCATGCAGTGTGCCTGGCTTTTTTTACAAGGGTGCTTGGAAGCTGAACTCAGGTCCTCATGCTTGCACAGCAAGTACTCTTGCCCACTGAACCAAGATCTCCCCAGATTGAAGGGTAGGACTTAAAGAATCTATTAAAGTTATTTAAGGAATACCCAGGTTACCTTAAGGGGTTTAGAATTCTTTTCTTGGCAGCAAGAGAGAATTTGTAAAATGACCTGCAAATCAGTTGGGCATGGTGGTGCACGCCGTTAATCCCAGCACTCTGGAGGCAGAAGCAGGAGGATCTCAGTGATTTCAAGGCCAGCCAGGTCTACAAAGTGAGTTCCAGGCCAGCTGGGCCTATATGGAGACCCTGTCTCAAAAGACCAAAAAAAGGGCTGAAAAGATGGCTCAGAGGTTAAGAGCACTGACTGCTCTTGCAGAGGACCCAGGTTTAATTCCCAGCACCCACACGGCAGCTACGACCCATCCTTGATTCCAGTTCTAGGGGAATCTGTCCTTGATTCCAGTTCCAGGGGAATCCGAAGCCCTCTTCTGACCTCCATGGCATTGCACAACATGAGCGTACTCACATACATACAGGCAATACACTCAAACACATAATTATATAGAAAAAAAAAGACACCCCCCCCCAAAAAAAATTGGGGACTGGAGAGATGGTTCAGTGGTTAAGAGTACGGACTGCTCCCACAGAGAGGACCTCGGTTTGATTCTCAGCACACATATAGTGGCTAATAACTGTCCATAACTCTAGTTCCAGGGGATTCAGGGCCTTCTTCTGCCTCCACGGGCATTGCATGACATTGGGTGCACCTACCTACATGCAAGCAATAGACTCATACACATAAAAATAATTTTTTTTTTTTTTTTTGGTCTTTTTGAGACAGGGTCTCCCTGTAGCCCCAGCTGACCTGGAACTCACTATGTAGACGAAGCTGGCCTTGAACTCACAGAGATCCGCCTGCCTCTGCCTCCCAAGTTGCTGGGATTAAAGGTATGTGCCACCACGCCCAGCAAACCTTTATTTTTAATGTCAGCATATCCTTTTAGTATGAAAAGTAGTAGTTAAGATGAAAACTGTTTTCACTAGTGGATAGTGGTAAGAAAATTTTGCTTGGGGGGATTGGCATTCCTAATGTGGTCACTGATACTAGCTAGATTTTGTGGAGATGTGTGAAAAAGTGCTCATTGGTAGAGTACCTAGCATGCTCAAGGTCCCAAAGAAGACACATTGGGTCTTTTTTGGTTTTTTGAGACTGGGTCTTCTGTAGGCCCAACTGGCCTGGATCTCACCATGTAGATGAGGCTGACCACGGGGTCTACCTACCTCCCTAAGTGCAGAATTTCAGGTGTGAACTGCCATGGATCTCACCATGTAGATGAGGCTGACCACGGTCTACCTACCTCTCTAAGTGCAGAATTTCAGGTGCGAACTGCCATCCCTGGCATGGAACCTGGACTTTTAACTCCCTTTTTATATTAGTAGGTGCTGTCATGAATGCTAAATTAAGTAGAAGGCATTGCTAGTAACACAGAGAACACTTAAATAATATCCTTGAAGACATATTAGCTTGGCTGGAGTGGCAACACCTTTTTAAAAAGTATTTTTAAAAAATTACCTGCAAATCTACTTAAAATCTCCAGGCTTTGGGGCTGTAGACTGCTCAGGGGTTAAGAGAACTTACTGTTCTTCCACAGAACTCCCAGCACCTACACAGCAGCTCTGGCTGTTGACCTCTTCCATCCTTTACCAGCACCACACAAATACCTGCCATCTAAACACTTGTACAAATAAAAAATTTTTTGAAGAATATTTTTGTTGTTGTTTAATGTGTATGGGTGTATTGCTTGCATGTAAGTAGGTTGTACCCATGTTGTGCCATGCCCTCAGAGGTCAGAAGAGGGTGTCTGGAACTGGAGTTAAAGTTGTTAAGATGCCATGTGGGTGCTGGGAATCAAACCTGGGTCCTCTGCAAGAGCAGTCAGTGCTCTTAACTGCTGAACCATCTCTCCAGCCCCACAAATAAAAGTTTTATTAATTACTAAAAAATCTTTCAAGCTTAAATACGTTTCCAAGTGTTTATATATACTGCATATATATTTTAACATTTGTGTATGTATATGGGCATGTATGTACTAAGATGTATATAGAGGTCAGGGCAATGTTCTAGAGTTGGTTCTCTTCCAGGAACTCAGGTATGTGACTTGGTGGCAGTAGTACCTTTGCCTGCTGAGCCATCTCACTGGTTCTGTTCTCAAGGTTTTTAATTTTTTTTTTTTTTGCTTGTGAGCCCGAGACTTTAACAGCTGTGCCAGCTCTCCAGCCCTTTTTTTGAGATAGTGTCTCACTATGTAGCCCTGGCTCGCCTAACTATGTGGGCCAGACTGGCCTCCAATTCAGAGATCTACTCGCCTCTGAGTGCTGGGGTTAAGGATGTAGGCCACGGCCTGTCTTTTTTAAAAAAAGAAAACATACCCAGGGGCTGGAGAGGGGGATCGGCATAATGCTCTCCCAAGAGTCAAGTTTGGTTCCCAACACCCACAATGCATCCCTTGCAACTGCCTCTAACTCTACCTCCTGGGGACCAGATGGCCTCTGAGGACATTACACTCACTTGCACATACCCAAACACACACAATTAAAAATTTTAAAAATCTAGAGCCAGGTGTCACAGTGCAAGCCAATTCTAGCACTCAAGTTCCAGGCCACCCAGGGCTACACAATGACCTCTCAATCTTAAAAAAAAACCCAGCTGGGTGTGGTGGCATACACCTTTAATCAACAAGGGGGCAGAGGCAGGTGGATCTCTGAGTTGGAGGCCAGCCTGGTCTACATAGTGAGTTCCAGGCCAGCTGGGACCACAGGGAAAACCTTTCTCAAAAAAACATTCAACAAAAAAATGACCATAGAGATCAGGCTTGGAGTCCCAACAAACTGAAGCACAGAAGACAAGAGGAGCTGGGGAGATGGCTCAGGGCATAAAACACCTATGCATGTGAGGACTGTACGTACCCATGAGAATGTCAGGTAGCTCATCTGTAATTCCAGAGACCAAACTCTCTGGGTCGCTAGCAGAGATCCAGAATCATAGAGACCCTGCCTCAATCTAAGGCAGAGAACCACCAATGAAGACATATGACATCAATCTTGTGCTTCCACATGCACATTCATGTTTCCACATACATCCAAATAAAGGGCAAAAAGTTTCCACATGGCTGTAAAAGATTCTGGAGATTTACTCTTAGCCTGAAGCAACACATGATCTAAGTGTTACATGCCGAATCCCACACAAGGTCAGGAAATAGCAGTACTAAACTTCAAAGGAATAAAAGGAAAACAAAACCTTCTTGGCTAATTTCTAGTTCAACTTACTTAGAGGTGAATGGGCCACCTCACTTTTTACAGTTTCTTAGAAGTATTTCCAGACTTAATCCTCCTCTAAGGAAGTGGGGTGGTAAAGGAAACACATTCTTTGGCCTGTAGCCATGTCTGTGGGTATTGATTCTTGAGAGAGGTCCCAGCCTAGTGTGGGTGATGCCACCACTGTGTAGGTTGTTCTGTATTGTGTAAGCTAGCAGGCTGAACAGGGGCCAGGGGAGCAAGTCACAGTAAGCAGCATTCCTCCATGGCCTGTGCTCCAGCTCCTGCCCTGAGTTCTTACCTTGGGCTCCCTGATGATTTGTGACCCAGGATTTGCAAGCCAAACAAACGCTTTCTTCTCCAAGTTGGTATTAATCAGAGTATCTTGTCATAACAATGGAGAAAGAAATCAGAACAAGCACTAACTGTTCTTGCAGAGGACTGAGGTTCGATTGCCAGCACCCACATGGGAGGAAACCACCACCTGTAACTCCAGTTCCAGGCACTGCACGACACTGGTAGACTTACATCCAGAAAATACACTCATACACATTAAATAAAAAAAAAAAAATTTTTTTTTTTTTTTGGTCTTTTTGAGACAGGGTCTACCTGTAGCTCCAGCTATCCTGGAACTATGTAGACCAGGCTGGCCTTGAACTCACAGAGATCTGCCTGCCTCTGCCTCCGGAGTGCTGGGATTAAAGGCATGCACCACCAACACCCAGCAGTGCTATGTTTTTAAAAATATTTTTATTGCCAGGACAGCTGGGGCTATAGAGAGACCCTGTCTCAAAAAGACAAAAAAAAAAAAAAAAAAAAAAAAAAAAAAAACCATAGCACTAACCAAATTATATAGATATACATATGTATTTGTAAGCACAAAGTTTATTTCAAACAAATCATTTTGTAATTATTGAAAGATGTTTTGTTATTTGACTCTATATACTTATATCATCCAAACAAAATAAACATAATATAAAAATGTATGGACAAAGCTGTACAAAATAACTTAATTTTAAAAACTAGACTGATACAGTCTACAGAAACTCTTCAAAAGAGCTATATACAACTATGTAAGTTTTTTTAATGGGTAAAAGAAAGGATGTTTTAAGGCTTCTTTGAGTGTAATTCTTTTGGTGGGATCATACTCCAACATTTTTCCAATAAGGTCAAATAGAAGCTCATGTTCAGCATCCCGAGAAAGCATAAATTCCTGAAAGAGAAATACATTCAATGATTTTTTTTTACTACCATTTATTGTATTTCTCCATCATAAAAGCAGTTGGAACCAGACATAGTATACACCTGTAATCCCAGTACTGTGGAGGGTGACCCAGGAGAACCGTTAACTGAGACTAGCCTGGACTATGTATTAACATTAAGACTGTCTCAGAGCCAGGCATGATGGCGCATGCCTTTAATCCCAGCACTCAGGAGGCAGAGGCAGGCAGATCTCTGAGTTTAAGGCCAGCCTGGTCTACATATAGTGAGTTCCAGGCCAGCTGGGGCTACAGGGAGACCGTGTCTCAAAAAAAAAAAAATCACTGGTAGACTATAAGAGCCTGGGTTCAATCTCCACACCCCCCAAAATGAAAAAACTGAAGATGTACTCAAGGTCTTGGTTATTTAGGACTATCCAGGCTTACCTTCAGAGGTTTACAGCGACGTGAAACATATCTGCCAGCAGAACTGTGCTCATCCCAGTCTAACCGATCATGATGGAAATATTTACGTTTCCTAAAACACGTCAATAAACATTCATGTTTAGCATGGTGACCTCACAAAACTTAAAACATCCAACAAAGTTGGATAGTTGCATGCATTGATTGCTATTTATCCAGCACTTTCAAATCTTTTCTTTTGTTTGAGACAGGGTCTCTCTAGAACTTACAGAGCACCATGCCCAGTTTTTTTTCTAGAGCTTTAAAAAAATTTCCAAGGAACAGAAATAGTAAGCTTTCCAGTTACCAATAGGGTATTCTGCTATTTAACTGAAAATGTGTTAGTTTCATCTGCTTTGTAAAATTCTAATCAGAATCCAGTGGTACTAAAGATGACGACTCTTACCTGGTTTTCTGTATCATGTGTTTTGGTAGAGGTCCAAGAATCCTTTCCATCATTGCCAAGTGCTCCTTACTATCATGTGTCTTAAAACAAAACAAAATTTGTTAACTGACTCTACTTACACATTGTGCTTTATTCCTACTCAAAACCAGTGCTAGTTTTCTAGTCTCAACTGATCAGAAGTCACAAGATGCTCTTCACCAAAATGGCATACTTTTTACCAAGTTACAGTGGACAGTGAAAAACTATTAAAGCCTGAGAGGATGCTTGCTAGTGATTTTTCCCTAAAATCACTATTTGTAAGACTGCCTATGATAAATTATAGAAACAGCCTAACTACAGTTACACAATTTAAATTTTTTGTGCTATTAGTTAAAACCCATGTAAATGCACAGCTTGATTTAAAGAAGCCCTTCACATAAATAGGCACTTTAACATTATAAAGCCACCAAAACAGATCACTTACTGGAAAAACTGTAAATCCAAGATAGTACTCAATAAGAATACATCCTATACTCCAGACATCACATGGTTGAGACCACCCTAGTGCTGTAAAGCAAAGTAAAAAGTTAGGGGAGAAATCTTTAATAATATTTCTGAAAAATATTTTACCACAAATTAAAAACAAATCCATTTAAAGATGGGTGGGTGTGGCCATCTGCCTGTAATCCCAGTGTAGCAGAAGTGGAGAGAGGGAATCCTTGGAGCAAACAGGCTAGACTAGCCCAAATCAGCAAGCTTTGGGCTCTCTTCTGCCCTGTGGAGTAGTTCTCTCTCAGTGCTGGGAAGTACTGTGCAGGCTGGGGTGGTGAGGAGGTGAAGGGCTGTCAATAAGTCTTACTGAGCAATGGACCCCAAGTATAGCAGTAACACTACCAACCTGCCATGAAAAATGGGCCCACATTGGTCTGATAAAGGCAAATCTGTTCTAGGAGGAACCAACCACTTTCTGATTAGATTTGAGGACCACTGCACAGGAGACCTGGTACTGGTTTGGATGCTGGGATCTGAATGGATCTTAATAGTAGCACTTATGCTATTAACCACTGAACCATCTTTCCAGGACCCTTAATGTATTTTCTAATACTGACTTTTCTTTTTTTGGTAATCCTGAGGATTGAACCCAGGGCCTCCCCAGGTATATTAGACAACAGCTCTGTCACTGAGCTAAACCCTTAGCCCGTTTTAAAGGAAAAATGACAAATACCCCAAGATACAAATTTTATGTTTGCCTCAATAAATCAATGGAAGTTCTCAAAGCATAGTTAATGAGCACTAACCTAAAATGACCTCAGGTGCTCTATAATGTCTTGTGGACACCAATGTACTATGATGTTCATCATCGTATGTTGCACTTCCAAAGTCCACAACTTTAATATCTGGATTTATTAGGGTACGTTCATCACGTTTCTGAAAATCATAACTGATGTTATGAAGACAAAGTACTGAAACATGTAACATTCATTAGAAAACTATGAACATATTAGAGACTTACCATTTTGGGATTATATGCCTCTGTGTAGTCAGACTGCACAAATAATATGTTTTCAGGCTTTAAATCTGTGTGAGTCAACTTATTACTGTGCAAAACTGAAAAGAAGAAAAAGAAGCTACACACTCAAAAAACAAAAATACACATTAAAATTCATTGTATGAACTCTAAAATTTCTCTCAACTTAAAAACCAAAAAATAAGCCTAGCATGGTGATATATGCCCACAATCCAAGCACTCAGGAAGCCAAGGCAGGAAAATCCATGTTTAAGGCCAACTTTGTCAAAAAAACAAAACCAAACCAAACCAAAAAGTCCAGTGATGAGGTGGCATGTACCTATAACCTTAGCACTCAGGACTGCCAGGCCAGCCTGGACAGCAGTCTCTAAATAACAAGGCTAGGAGTGGTGGTACCCATCTGTATCTGCTTCTCTGGGGATTAAATCCAGGGCTATGTGCTTAAACTACCATGTATAAATGGTCAACTACAGTCATAATGATGCACATTAAATCTCAAACTGATTCCTCTTCACTGAACAGTTCTTTTGACCAACATCACCCTAATCCCAAAGCCTCTAACTCTCAAACTATTTTTCTTTGCCAGGCATGGTGGAGCACACCTTTAATCCCAGCACTTGGGAGGCAGAGGCAGGTGGATCTTTCCGAGTTCAAGGCCAGTCTGGTCTACATAGTGAGTTCCAGGACAGCTGGGGCTACAGGGAGACCCTGTCTCAAAAAGACCAAAAAAATTTTTTTTATTTATTGGGGTTGGGGATTCAGTTCAGTGGTAGAGCACTTGCCTAGCAAGAACAAGGCCCTGGGTTCGGTCCTCAGCTCTGATTAAAAAAAATAAAATAAATTTATTATTTTTATGTGTGAGTGTATTGCCTGCATGTGAGTGCACCCGTGTCGTGCAATGACACGGAGGTCAGAAGGTGGCTTCAGATTCTCCTGGAACTGGAGTTAAGGACGGCTCGTAGCTGCCATGTGGACGCTGGGAATCGAACCTGGGTCCTCTGCAAGAGCAGTCAGTGCTCTTAACCGCTGAGCCATCTCTCCAGCCCCTTTAATTTCTTTTTTGAGAGAAAGTCTCACTATCCAGCCCTGGCTGGCCTTAACTTGCTATGTAGACCAGGCTGGTCTTAAACTCACAGATCTGCCTGAGTGCTGAGATTAAAGTCTTGCACTACCATACCTGGTTAAGCCAGTTCCCTGTTAGGACTCACCTTCTAGTTTTTTGTGGTGATGGGGGATGGAACTGAAAACCTTATATTCTAACACTTAAGCTATAATTCCAGCTCCATCAGGTTCATCTTTTCTTTCTTCTTTTTTGGTCTTTTGGAGACAGGGTCTCCCTGCAGCCCCAGCTGACCTATAACTAACTATGCAGATCAGGCTGGACTTGAACTCACAGAGATCTGCCTGCCTCTGCCTCCGGAGTGCTGGGACTAAAGGCATGCACCACCATGTCTGGCCTTAGGTTCTTTTCAAAGATCAAGTTTCTGAACGATGACAAGAACTTACAATTCACAGATCTGCATATCTGATAAGCCATCTTCCTAATATGATCCAGTCGAAATGGCAGAAAACCATTTTCTTTAATAAAGTCATAAGTACTAAGTCCCAGCAGCTCAAACACAATGCACACATGACCATGATGCTCAAACCACTCCAACATCTGAACACAGCGGCTATAAACAAATGGAAAAAAATAACTCAGTAGAGTTTCTCACAATTGAAATCTATCCGAGACTATTTCCCTAGTTTTGATACTTACAAGGTACTGTGGGGGTCTGTTGTATTTAAGTGTTCCAGAACTTGAATTTCTGAGCGAGCAGCTTCACAGTACCGATCCACATTTTTAACTATCTTTACTGCTACACGTCTACCTCCCCTGTTAGAGAGAATAATTCTAAGTTAAAAAAAGGCAATTCCAGTTTTTCTATTACTCTATTCAAAATATACTTTTCCTGAATGTTTTCTTTATAAAAATCCCTATTTTTAAAAATTTTATGTGTATGAGTATTTTGCCTGCATGTGTGCAAGTGTACCACATGTGTGCAATGTCCAGAGAGGCCAGGACATCAGAACCCCCTAAACTGGAATTGTGGACAGCACCAATTGACAGCTAAATGTGACCCATTAGCCGTCAAGTGGGTGCTAGGAACCAAACCTAAGTCCACTTGCAGGAGCAGCCAGTGCAAAAATGCTACACCACCTCTCCAGCCCCTTATCATGCTTAGTTTTAATTTTCTTTTAAAAAAAAAAATTTATTTATTATTCTTATTTTATGTGTATTGCCTGCATGTGAGTGCACCCGTATCATGCAATGCCTCGGATGTCAGAAGAGGGCTTCGATTCCCCTGGAACTGGAGTTAAGGATGGTTTGTAGCCACCATGTGGGTGCTGGGAATGGAACCCAGGTCCTCTGCAAGAACAGTCGGTGCTCTTAACCGCTGAGCCATCTCTCCAGTCCCCATGTTTACTTTTAATTTTTTTTATTTTCACTTTATCTGTATGAATGTTTGTGCAAAACCCAGAGGCCAGAAAAGGGCATCAGATCCCCATTACAGATGCCATGTGGGTCCTGTGAACATGTGGGTGCTGTGATAGCTCAGAGGTTAAAAGTACTGGCTGTTCTCCCAGAGGACCCAGATTTAGTTCTCAGCACCCACATGGCAGCTATAACTCCACATTCTAGTTGTTTCTCCATTGCTGTGACAAAGTACTCCAACCAATACCAACTTGGGGAGGAAAGGGTTTATTTATCTTACACCTCCCAAGTCACAGTTCATCAGGGAGTACAAGGTAGGAAGTCAGGGCAGGAGCCTGGAGGCAGGAGATGAAGCACAGGCCATGGAAGAACACTGCTTGCTCCCGACCCCTACTCAGCCTGCTTTCTTATGCAACGTAGGCCCACCTGCCCACAGGTAGTACCACCCACAGTGGGTTGGGCCCTCCCACAGCACTCAATTATCAAGACAATGCCCCACACAGAGATGGCCACCAACCAGTCCAAAGGAGGCAATTCACCAATTGAGGCTCCCTCTACCCAAGAGTGTCAGGTTGACATGTAAAGCTATCCTATCCAGCACACTCTAGTTCCAGGAGATCTGACACCCTCTTCTGGCCTCTGGAGGCAAATCACTCATACACCTAATTTTTTAAAAACTTTATTATTTTTATTTTATGTGTACGTAGGTAAGTGCACGCATATTGTGCAATGCCCACGGAGGTCAGAAGAGGCTGTCGGATCCCCTGGGACTAGAGTTACAGGACAATTGTTAGCTGCCATGTGGGTGCTGGGATTCAAACAGTCTTCTGCAAGAACATTCAGTGTTCTTAACCTCCAGCCCCCACATAAAGTGGTGGCACACACCTTTAATCCCAGCACTCAGGAGGCAGAGGCTGGCTCTGTGGGTTCAAGGCCAGCCTGGTCTACATAGTCAGTTGAGTTCCAGGACAGCTGGGGCTAGAGAGACCCTGTCTCAAAAAGAGAAAAAAAAAAAAAAGTTGGACCTACATTTGTAGCAAAGAATGCTAGGTCTCAGAACTTTACAGCTTCTCCAATTCAACTCGGAAAAGTTTTGCCCTTCATGTGATAGGAAAAGTAGCTTAGTGGTAGAGTTTGCTTTGTATGAAAAAGGCCTTGGGCTCTATCCCCAACACCATACACACAAGAGTTCCATTCACTCATTCACAAGGTGGAAAGAATTCTATTGTTAATAAAAATAGTATTAATTGGAGGCAGGAAGGATGGCTCAGTGGATAAGAGGACATGCTGCTCTGGCAGGAAACCTAAGTTTGGGTCTCAGTGCCCATACTGATAGGCTCTACAGGATGACACCTTCTTCTGGTTTCTCTGGAAACCTGCAATCATGTGTACACATACACATAATTAAAAATAAAAAATTTCACCTGGAGAGATTGCTCAGCACATCACCAAATTCCGTTTCCAGAATCCTGGTAGGGTAGCTGACAACTGCCCATATAACCTCCAGCTCCAGAGGATCCAAAGCCTCTGGCCTCCTTGAGCAATTGTTTACACATACTCCCCACAGACACACACAGGTACACAATTAAAAAAATAAAAAAAAATCTAAAAACATTACTAGCAGGTTGAATTGCTGGGTTTGAGTCCCAACATGGGCATAGGTTGAAGGTCAGGAAAACCAATCATCATCAAGTTTGATAGACAAAGAGATCTGCCTGTCTCTGCCTCCCAATTAAGGGCATGTGACATTTTCTTTGAGAAACAAAAAGGCGCCTACTTTAAGTAACTACAGTTAGATAGAGGGTAACCAAAGCACCAAAGTTTCCTAGTATAAAACCCAAATGGGGGGGGGGGGGCAGCAGGGATGGGACTATAAGACCAAAAAGAATCCTTTGGTGCTAGGAATCAAACCCAGAGCCTTCAATCTATAGATAGATATAGACTGTCACAATCTAGAAGCTGCACATACTGTTTTGTTTAAAAAGTACACAAGATGGGGTTTGGAGAGATAGATGGCTCAGTGGTTAAGAGAACTGGCTTTTGCAGAGGACCTAGGTTCAGTTCCCAGCACCTACATGGTGGCTATCAATTGTCTAACTCTAGTTTCAGGGGATCTAACACCCTCTTCTGACTTCCACAGCCACTGCATGACACAGGTGCACTTACATACATGCAGGCAATACACTCGTACACAGAAAATAAGAAACAAATAAAATATTTTTAAAAAGTTATAAGGGTCAAGTTCCTATAACTAGAATTTCTTATATCCTAAGTCAAAGGACACCCAAGCTGGAAGGTTATATAGAACTTAATTTTCTTTTTTAAAAAAATTTTATTGAAATTTTTTTCTATTTCATACATAAAATCATTGTCATTTGTGTTAAGGCCTATCATGTAAACTTAATTTTTTCTACTGCAAAATTCGTAACATATAATCCTAGTATAGGAAACTTACGCTTTATGATCGATGCACTCCACTACTTTTCCAAAAGCTCCTTCACCTAAAGTATCAACAATTTCATCTACAAGAGAGAAATAAATTTCAGTCATACCAAGTGGGAACACTGTACTTATAAATGCTATCAATGCAGAGTATACTAATTGATGCTACAAATTTCCTTATTACTAGTTATTTATCAGTCAACACCATCAAAAAACATACAACTATTCTAAGATCTAATTTCATTCTTAGGCTAACTTCCACTAACTTGATTTACTGTTCTGGAATTTCAACAAACATTAAAATTCTAAAGAAAGTAAAGATACAATCCCCCCTCCACCAAAAGAAATGAAAACAAAACAGAAAAACAGAGAAAGAAAAAAAAGGTTTCCAAATCCCTGAAATCTTAAATCTATATACAGATTGTTATCTGAAAAGTTAAAAGTGTTGAAAAATATTCTATACATCTTGCACTTAGTACGTCTCCACTCTGACAGATCAGGTGACCCTCCTCATCATCCTCTACACTCCTGGTTCTTTTCCTTCGGTGACTCTTCTGGAAACGTCAAGTGGGCGGCACCAAGATCATCCAGCCAATCAATATACCCGAGTGAATTCAGGGCAGAATACGAAATTCATTCAGCGGGGAGATATTCAGGCATTCAGATACACGCCAGGCCACAAACGGTTGGCAGGAGCAATTTCAAATTCAGTCCCCAGAAATTCACAGGGCACATAGTTTATGTTAACAGGAGAAAAACACGGCAAGGAACAGATTTTCAGATAAGATACTCAAAGTGGTAAGGCAACAAAACATAAACACAATTGTTTCTCTTAAAAAAAAAAAAACAAAAACTTATCTGTAGCACTCACTGAAACGTAATTTTCTAGTGCCCTAATTTAAGGCTGCAAAACTGTAGAATTTAATATTTACTTATAGACTGTGGCCAAATATTTTCTAACTAATGTAAGAAAATAATTATTAAATCAGTAAATAGAATCATAGTCCTAATTTTGGGAGGAAAAGGATTTGGTATACAGTAACACTATAGCTTTTTAAATGTCATCTGATGATTTCAAAATTAATACATGACCCATAAAGTTCAAATCTGTTGTAATTTGCTTAATGTGAAAGATTAGAAAACATGCTGTTAAAACAAAAACATAACTAATCCTCAATCATACAAAAATAAAATACTTTTTTGTGATAAAGTTGGATTGAACATATCAAAACAAGATTTCTTGAAAATTTTTCAAAAGATTCTTTGTATTCCACTATTTCACTGAAAGAACAATCAGTAGCTAACTAGTAATTAAATCTAGTATTACAGAACTAAATATGTACTGTATTTCATCAATTTCCCATCCAATGCACAAATACAGAAAAGAATCCTCCTGCAAACTATAGCTCTGATGGCTTTACCCTGAAACAAAATTTTCTCAAACAAATTTGTTTCCTGCTCCACACGGGAAATAAAAACTACCAAAATGTTTTTAAAAGTGCTCATACCCCATGTGAATGATGATGTGAAGTACTGTGGTGAATCCTGTGTTTACTTTTGTAACTACTTCTTCCACTTCTACCAGAGGATTTGCTACTATGATTCTGATTTCTGCTTTCACGGTCTCGATAATGATGTCCTGGCTCACATCCCATGTAGTCATTTCTGTATTCATCAATGTACCGTCGACTATGATAATCTTTCTCATTAATAGATCTGCTTTCCAAATAATAGCTAGAGGGGGGAAAAATTAAATTCTCAGTACAGTAACTCCTCTTATGTGCAGTGCTAAGGTTCAAATCCAGGGCCTTTTACATAAATCAGATGCCTTGTCAAGATTTTTAGGTACCACCCAAGCACACAACTGATAACTAGTTTTATCATCCACCTGGCTCCCAGGGCTTCCTGCATGGTAGGCAAGCATTTTACACCTCAACTACACTCCCAGGCCAATAATGTATTTTTTTAAATTTAGGGACTGGGTATTTCTTTTTTAAAATATTTTATTACTTTTATGTGCATGCGTGTATTGCCTGCATGTGGGTAAATGCACCCATGTCATGCAATGCCCGAGGAGGACAGAAGAGGCTGTTGGATCCCCTGGAACTGGAGCTTTAGACAGTTAGCTGCTATGTGGGTACTGGGATCCGAACCCGGGTCTTCTGCAAGAATAACCAGTGTTCTTAACCTCTGAGCCATCTCTCCAGCTCCTCCAATAATGTATTTTTATATTGAGATACTTCTTTGAAGTACCTTTTACCATCTCCCAAGCCCTGAAATGCCCAATTAAAAGATTTTCAATTATGTGTATGTGTCCATGCCCTTGAGTGCAAGTGCCCACAGAGGCTAGAAGAGAGTTTCAGATAGCTGGAGTTACGGGCAGTTGTGGGCTGCCAGACATGTGTGCTGGGAACCAAACTTAGGTCTCTTACCCACCAAGCCATCTCTTCAGTCCTTAGTTGCCCTTCTTACCAATCAGTTGTTTTAGAGTGATTGTAGTATTTGCAGCGCTTATGCTCCCAGGCACCGCTAGGTGATCTCCTTTTTCTTTTACGACTGCTGCTGCTTCTCCATGTTCCATAATCCCATTCCTTTTCATCCCAGTCAGGATAGTAAGCTCTCTTTGAATGTCTCATCTATACAAAAGACAAAATTTTCTCAAACTGTATTTCTCATTAGGTGTTCAATAGCAAAAGCTTTCTTTGAAAATTCACTCTTATTTTCACACTTTTACATTGTTTTAAATCTTCTGATTTCAGCCATATAATTATTGCATTGTCCCAGAATCTGGAATTTGAACTTTATTCATGCCTTGTCCCCACCACACCCATATTTACAGATGTGGAAAGGGGTATTCCTATTTAACTTTGGTAAAGTTTTTGGTTGAGTGTGGTAGTGTACGCCTTTAATCCTAGCCCTTGGGAGGCAGAGGTAGGTATACTTTGGAGTATCAGGCCAGTCTGGTCTATATAGTAAGTTTCAGGCCAGTCAGGGTTACATTGTGAGTCTCAAAAAAAAAATAAAAAGTTAAGCTGGGGATGGCGGCACATGCCTTTAATCCCAGCACATGGGAGGCACAGTCAGGAGGATCTCTCTGAGTTCAAGGCCAGCCTGGTCTACATAGTAAGTTCCAGTAAAACAAAACAAAACAAAACAAAACAAAAAAAGGTTAAAATTCTACCACCTTTCTAGGGTCATAAATTAACTGTAAGTTCGCACTCCCAATCAATGCTGTATCAGAAATTAGCCACCAACTCAAATGCAACTAACCCTAAAGTAATCTTCCATACACTGCCCTTATATTGCTTAGGTAACTCCAACGACTTGTTTGCTTACAACTCAGAATCACAATAAAGCTGATGACCTCATTTTCTTCAACAACCTTCAAATAAATTCCACTCTAGCTGGATGTCATGGTGCCTGCCTGCAGTCTCAGCTGCCAGCAAAGCTGAGCCCAAAGGGAGACAGGAAAAACATGAGGGCATGTGAACTGGCTTGCCTGTCAGGCTTAGCCAGCCCAATTTCCTCCTAGGAGTAGTCCCTGTTTTTCAGATACCTCAAAGATGAGGATGCCAATAAAACTGCTTACTCAGGGCAAAAACGATGCATACCTTTGAGCAACCCTCCCCTTGACAATGTTCCTCATGTAAGTGCAACTTACAATTTGTTCACAAAGGAAAGTTCTCTGTTACAAAGCACTTTTTTTTCTTTTTTGAGACAGGGTCTCCATGTAGGCCCAGAAAGCCTGGAACTCACCAAGTAGACCAGGTTGGCCGACACAAAGAACCTTTTTTGAGAAGGTCTCCTAGTAGTCCCAGCCTCCTCCCAAGTGCTGGGATTAAAGGCATGCGCCCGAAGGTGGGAATCTCAAAGAAAGGGAGATTTCAGGGCTAGAGAGATGGCTCAGTGGTTAAGAGCACTGGCTGTTCTTGCAGAGAACCTGGGTTCAATTCCCAGCACCGACATGGCGCTTAACCGTCTGTATCTCCAGTTGCAGGGGATCCGAAGCCCATGACACAGGTGCTCTTACACACATGCAGGCAGTGAACTCATACATATTCAATAAAAAATAATAAAAACCCCACTCAGGCCCATGTGCTTTACTCTCTCGTGGAGTACCTTTCTGTTTTTATATTCTTTAAAATTTTTTTTTTCCTGTCTTTTTGAGGCAGGGTCTCCCTGTAGCTCCAGGTGACCTGGAACTCACTACATAGACCAGGCTGGTCCGGAACTCACGGAAATCCTACCTCTGCTGAGATAAAGGCGTGAGCCACCATGCCCGGCTTCTAATTTTTAAAAAAACATTAATTACCCTTTTACGTGTATTGCCTGCAGGTGTGTAAGTGCACCCGTGTGGTGCAATGTACCCGGGGGTGAGAAAGGCCGTCAGATCCCCTGCAACTGTAGTTAGGGATGGTCTTTAGCCGCCACATGGGTACTGGGATTCTAACCCCGGTCTTCTGCAATAGAGGTCAGTGCTCTAGAACCATCTCTCCACCACACCTTTCTGTTTCCAAAAAAAACCCTTTTCTTCCTATTGGCTCCTTGGTGGACGTCTGAGAAGTCGGGCGGCCGGCGGTTGCGTTGGACGAAGCTGTTAGCACCGCCGTCATGATCATCGGTTAGGTCGGCCAGGGCAGCTACACTATGCTACGCCACGCCTCGCACTCCAAATAAAAGTCAACAATACTCCCTGCCACCTCTTTCCTCGGACCCCTGAGGGGTGAGAAACGCTTAGGTCTGGAGTTCGCCGCCTACCAGTAGGCTTGTTTACGAACACTGCAGAACGCAGCGAAGGGCGCGCCCCAGCAGCGCCATTCCAGAGAGCCACCGCGACCTCCGCCCCGCCGCCATCTTAGGCCTCGCCACCGCCGCCGCCCTGAGCCGCCCCGAGGTGCCCGGTGGCTCTGGAGGAGCGACCCCAGGCCAGCCGGGGCCAGTAACAGCGTCCCAGCACACTGTGAGAAGGCGGCGACAGCGACCGGGCAGCGCTGACCTCGGCGCCCCGTGGTGTGGCTCTACGTCCCGGGGACGCGGCGGCGACACCCGGAGACGAAGGGAAGGCAGAGGAGCAGCCGGGCCGCAATGCCAGGCCCGGGAGGGGACACTGCCGGCCACCCTCCCGCCTCTTACCTTCGCAGACTCTACTCGAAGGGACAACGGTGGCCGGGCGACCTCAGAAGACGCAGTTGGCAGTGCGGAGCACCGAGCACAAAATGGAACTGAGACCCGCAGCGCTGGGCTCCTCTGCAAAACACTGCTGACGCGCTGCGAGGAGGAGCGCCGGTGGCCTGAGTGCGCAGGCGCTGGTCTGGTAGGAACCAATGCAGACCCGCCGAGGGGGCGGGGGTGTCCTGGGTGGGGCGTTAGCTAGGAGCTGCGGGTTGAGGCTTCCTGAGAATTCTAAGATGCTTCGAGTGCTGGGACGACTTAACTCTCACAGCAAAGTGATTCTGTCTCTGTGGAAGCTAGAAACGAGAAAGCCGAGGGAAGCAAGATGGAAAAATACATGCCCGATTGCAGCGGTTTCGGACTACAGGCGTGTACCACCATGCCCAGCACTTTTGGTCTTTTTGAGGCTGGGTTTCCCTGTCACCCCAGCTGGCCTGGAACTCACTTTGTAGACCAGGCTGGCTTTGAACTCAGAAAGATCCGCCTGCCTCTGCCTCGCAAGTGCTGGGACTAAAGGCGTGCACCACTACAGGCGACTTACATATTTTATGTTTATGTGTATGAGAGTATTGCCTGCATGTGTGTTAAGTGCACCTGTGGAGGTCAGAAGAGGGTGTCGGATCCCCTGGAACTGGAGTTTCAGTTGTTAGTTGTCCTGTGGGTGCTGGGAATCAAACCAGGTCCTCTGCAAGAACAGCCAATGCTCTTAACTTCTGAGCCATCTCTCCAGTCCCCATTAAAACGTTTTAAAACAGTACACCATTGAAGTAAAAATATCTCTGGTTGGTACTTGGCTTGATTTCCACGTTGACTAAGGTACTGTGATTTTTTTTTTTTAATTAGTTTTTAGCTCAGAGGTTAGGAGCACTTGCTGCTCTTTCAGAGAATGCAAGATACATTCCCAGTACCCACGTGGCTGCTCACAATGGGCTGTAACTCCTGTTCCAGTCCATCTGTGGGATGCCCATTTCCAGCGCTGTGGGTGCCAAGCATGCACATGGCACATATGCATGCTTGCAGGCAAAACACCCATACATATAAAATAAAAAGGTCTTTTTTTTGTTTTTTGTTTTGGTCTTTTTGAGACAGTCTCCCTGTAGCCCCAGCAGGCCTAGAGCTCACTTTATAGTCTAGGCTGGCCTTGAACTCACAAAGATTCACCTGCCTCTGCCTGGAGTGTTAGGATTAAAGGCGTGTGCCACACCTGGCTATAAAAAGGTTTTTTTTTGTTTGTTTGGTTTTTTTTTTTTGAGACAGGATTCGAACTCAACAGAGATCCACTTGCCTCTGCATCAGGAGTGCTGGAATTAAAGGAGTGCCCCACCACGCCCGGATATAGAAAGTTTTTTAAAACTAGTTCTTAAGTGACTCTTGCAATGAAATTGGGTTGTAAAGATTTCGCCAAGATTTCAAAAGTTGAGAAATCAGCAAGAAGATTAGTAAGTTTGAGACCTTTGAGGATGTCCTTCATGGTCTTTGGACCCCCCCCACCTCCTTTTCTCTGGTAACACTAAAAAGGTAAACATGAACTTTGCAACACCCTAGGCCTCCTGATCAACAAAATGCCCCAGGTGGAGGAGACTTCAGGTGCTGGGAAGTCTGATTTGTTTCAAAGATTAGAACACTATTCCTCCTCCCTGAAGAGTTAATCCAGGCTGGGGCATGATGATTCATACCTTTAATCCTAGCATCTAGGAGGCAGAGGCAGGGGGACCTCTGCCAGGTCTACAGTGCAAATTCCAGGCCACCCTGTCTTCAAAAAAGGGGGTGGGGGGAGACTTGGCTCAGCAGGTAAAGACATTTGCCAGCAAGCCTGATGACCTGATTCAAGCCCCAGGACCCACATTGGTGGAAGAAGGAAAGAACTGAGTTCTGCAAGTTGTCCTTTGACCTCCACATGCATGCCATGGCACACATGTATGCACACACAAATTAATGGAAAAGGTTTATTTTGCTACAACCTGGCTGGTGGTAGATACAGAAGAGGGACAACCCAGTATATCATACACAGGATATTTTAATGTTAAAACTGGGGACCAGGAGGCTCCCTATTTCACAAAACAAAGAGTATTAGCATAGATGAGGTGTGCTCTAAGCAAGTATTCAAAAACTAAAGGTAGGCAAGTCAAAGGACATTTCTCTGCAGGGCTCGGGAAACTACAACAAAATTTGACTTGTTTACAGGGTATGGACCTGATAGTCACACAACAGTGTAAATAAGTGTATTAGGGTTCTCTAATTAGGATTCATTTTATATATTTACTAGATTGACTTACAGGATAGTCTAGAGTCTAAGTATTCCAACAATGGGGTGTCACCCTGACAGGCTGTCTTTGAGGTTGGATGTCTCAGCTGTCCCAATCTGGTGCTGAAGGCCTGAAGTATCCCCTGGAGGTCTGCTAGTCTTCAGTCTACCTTGGAATCCGTAGAAGCTGATTCTACTATCAGTGGAGGAATGCCACAGTGACAGATGAATCCAGCAGTGAGAGAGAAGGCAAACAGACAAAAGGCAAGAGCTCCCTTCTGCTATGGCCTTTTATAAGGACTGCCATTAGAAGGCCCACATTTAGGGTGGGTCTTCCAGCTTCAAATAATCCAATCAAGAAAGTCTCCATTTTAGTTAATTCCAGATCAAGCTGACAACCAAGATAAGCCATCACATAAGGCATAGTTTTTTGTTTTGTTTTTCTGTTTTTTTCCTTACCTAATCTAAACATAAGGGACAGTGCACTTCAGAACCTGTGTCTGCATACATGCCTCTCTGACCTGACAGCATAGACACTCCTGGCTGGTGGTGACTTTGCACATCTGCCAGGTAGGCTTTGGGCAGAGTTCAACAGGGCAATGGTCTCCAACACTTTTTTTAATTTTTAAAAATATTTTATTTGCCAGTCAGGCGTGGTTGCGCACGCCTTTAATCCCAGCACTTGGGAGGCAGAGGCAGGTGGATCTCTGTTAGGTCAAGGCCAGTCTGGTCTACATAGTGAGTTCCAGGACAGCTGGGGCTACAGAGAGACCCTGTCTCAAAAAGACAAAAAAAAAAAAATATTTTATTTGCCAGGCGTGGTGGTGCACGCCTGTAGTCCTAGCACTTGGGAGGCAGAGGCAGGCGGATCTCTGTGAGTTTGAGGCCTGCTTCAGGGAGACCCTGTCTCAAAAAGAGACCCCCCCCCCAATATATATATTTTATGTATATGAGTATATTGCCTGCATGTATGTGAGTGCACCCATGTCACGCAATGCCGTGGAGGTCAGAAGAGGGCTTTGGAGTCCCCTGGAACTGGGTTCGTAGCTGCAATGTGGGTGCTGGGATCGAACTGGGGTTCTCTGCAAGAGCAGTCAGTGCCCTGAATCACTGAGCCATCTCTCCAGACCCTCCAACATTATTTTTTAGAGTTTTTTTTTAATTTTTAAAATATTTCATTTATTATTTTTATGTGTATGAGTGTATTGCCTGCATGTATGTGAGTGCACCCATGTAGTGCAGTACTGCAGAGGTCAGAAGAGGGCTTCAGATTCCCCTAGAACTGGAGTTAAGGACAGTTCGTAGCCGCCATGTGGGTGCTGGGAATTGAACCCAGGTCTTCTGCAAGAGCAGTCAATACTCTTAACCATTGAGTCATCTCTCCAGCTCCAGAGGTATTTTGTTTTTTGTTTTTTGTTTTTTAATGTGTATGAATGCTTTGCCTATTTGTATGTACATGTGTGATGTGTATGCAGTGCCCTCAGAGGCCAGAAGAGAGTGACAGATCCCTTGAAACTGGAGTTACAGAAGACTGTGAGCCACTATGTGAGTCCAGGAAACCAAACCTGGGTCCTCTGCAAGAGCAGCCAGTGCTGTTAAGTACTCTTAACAACTGAGCCATCTCTCCAGCCCCCCAAAAAGTTATTTTTAAAAAGTTTATCCAGTTGGGCCTTGTCAGTCACCTGGCCACCCCCCAAATCTGACTCACCTGAAGACATGGTAAAGATATGAAAGGAATAATTATCCTTTTAATGAGATAATGCACTTAGTCTTCCCAGAAACTGCAAGTCTATGTAACACTTATAAAGCTCCTGCCATGCAGCCTGATGGATTTTCTGAGTTACTCAGAAAAGCATTTTCTTTTCTTCTTTCGGGTCTTTTTTTCCTGAAACTGGCCAAAAACCTGAGCATGTGATGCTTCTGGCTTTCTCTTTCTCTGAAGCTCCCCCAGCTTCTGCCATGCAGCTGTCTGTAGTCCTCCATGGCTGAACATGCATAGCTTTTTTAGACTCCAACTCAAAAGGCAAGGCTTTCTCTCTTCCTCTTCTCCATCTCCTTCCTCTTGATAACTGCCAAGATAAACAGCTTGCTGGCCCAGCTATTTTTCTCTTAAAGTCTAATGAGCTTCCTTTAAGTCAATCTCTAATTGATTTTTTTTTTTTTTTTGGTCTTTTTGAAACAGGGTCTCCCTGTAGCTCCAGCTGCCTAGAACTCACTCTGTAGACCAGGCTGGCCTTGAACTCACAGAGGATCCGCCTGTCTCTTCCTCCCAAGTGCTGGGATTAAAGGTGTGTACCACCATGCCCGGAAAAATAGATAAAATAAATCTAATCGTTTTATTAATGAGATTAAGAACCCAAAAAAGGCAGGGCGTTGTGGCATATGCCTTTAATCCAGCACTGGGGAAGCAGAGGCAGGCAGATCTCTGTGAGATGGAGACCAGCCTGATTTACATAGTGAGGTCCACGTCAACTAGGACTGCAGTGAGACCCTGTTTCGAAAAAAAAAAAAAAAGTGAAAAAAGGAGCCCAAAAAGGGAAACTCCCAAATTCCCTAGTAATAGGAGGAAATGGGGGCTTTAAACAATCATTTTTTTTGTCATTAAAGTAGGCCACTGTAGTGTTAAGGACAAGTGAACTTGTAAGAGTGTTAAAGAAAAATTATAGGAGGACTTTTTTTGGGGGCGGGGGTGGTTGAGGGTCTAATATCCACAACTGGCCTGGGACTCAGCACAGAGACCAGGCTGGCCTCATTCTCATAGAAATCCCCCTACCTCTGCATCCCAAGTGCTGGGAGTGAAGTCATGTGCCACCATGCCCAGCAAGCCCAGTGTTTTACTTGGGCTTTGGAGTTCCAAACTTAGGTCCTCATGC